CAACATTAGGCGATGCAAAGTGCCGGTCCACATTGTGAATACGGCTCTGTGCTTTTTTTCCCTCTCATTTGAGACAACTGGGCAGTCCTTATCGAAGATGTGCCTCACCTTTGTAAATACAGGGCATTCAATCAAACGCGGCAGGAATCATAGCCTTTGATTTGATGCATAAACGTCTGGTTCACCACAGTAATTTCCTTTCCTGAATACATATAAAGATATGTGGATATAGAAATGTAAAACAACATGTTTTCTTATATTTGATATGTGCATATATAAAAGTATTGAAAGTGTTTTCCCTGTTATAAACTGAACTTTGTCTGGGATTTATTATATAATGTCTGCACACCCAGAGATATTTGTCTTCTGATGAATCAATTCTTATCCTTGAAGATGTATTATCCCGCAATTGCAATTTAACCATTGTTCCAATCTGTATCCAGAGTCATATCATAATTGGATGTTTTGCTAAGATAAACAACAACTTGTAATGACTTTCCTTCTCTCAAACATGCTGACCTTCATTTTCTTTTGCTCTATTAAGCAAATCCAAAATTCTGAATTAAAAAATGTCTCTGTTATTGTCGCCAATTTCCCAAGACAAGTTCTAGTAGAGGTTTGGCTGTTGCTGAGGGAGAAAACAAAGCACTCCTGTCTCTAGCGACAGACAAAAGGTCTTTATTTTCTGCTCTGTGTGCCCACACATTTACAGAACCTAACCCTGAAGTCAAGGCCAATTTATCTCACAACAAAATAGCATGTCTCGAAATTTCATTTTATCATTTATGTTGTTTTTCTGTTAGCAAGCACTGGAGTCAATCCCAGGATTTGAGATAAAGCATTATTAATGTAGCTCCGTGGGCACCTGAGCACAATCACGCTCCTCTCCTCATGCTACTGTGTGAGATGAAGTCTAAAATGAGGTGCCTAACTCTAACATAGACATTTTGATTATGAAAATAATGTTGAATCATGGGGTTGTCACTTTGGCAGGCGCGAAGTAGAGGGGTAGATCCGGGATGGGCACTCTTTTTTTGTTGCCCAACGATGTGATGCCAAGTGAAGGATAAATGTGGCAGATAAGATGGAGATGTATTTGGTGCAGAGGGGAAGGATGAATGGATATGGCCACCTTGATGTGAGCCCCAGCATTCTCAAACACATCACCTAATTTCTTTATTGCGGTGTCCCTTTAAAAGACTCAGCCAGGCTTTAAATTGAATGAAGGAGGTCACTTTTTAACTGCTCAAGTGACAAGTACAAGCTGGTGTCAATTACCTCTTTGATTCGTTCTATCACCGGTGTATTTTAATAGCCATTCTAGAATATCAGTCTTCTGGCAACATTACAGACTTTAAAGGAAATTGTGCTTTGATAATACTTAATATACTGCAGAGGTAGGATCCCTAATCAAGATAGTCTAAAGTGACATTCAAGGTCTAAAGCTGTGTCTTTAAGCATCAAAACCTGTTCTTAAGTGTCAGCCCTCTTCGTTGAGAACTCCATTTTGTGATCTCCATCTGAATTCAAATTAGCTGGCTTCTGTTACTCCATACAACCCATGTTTTTATGTTATGATTGTTTGTTTCCTATGCAAAGCAGCAAACTGGTTACTTACCACCACACATTTTTTGCTTTCGAGTATTTTTTGAAGGGTTATTCATTCTAGCCATTCAGTTGTGTCCTTCCATACTTTTAGTCTTGAGTATAGGTAAAGATTGTAATCCTGACATTTAAAAAATGCAGCTTGATTATGTCGTGAGTAGGAAAATGTTCACATATTTCAACACCATACCCGTAGCTTCAAACACACCATTTTTGTTAAAATACGTCCCTTACTGTAGCTCAAGCTGAAATCACCCAGGTGAAAATATCAGGTTTATTTCTTTAGACTTTGAAAACCCGTTAGTGCAGCAGAAGACATTATAAAACTTGGAGTCCTGTCCAATGTTCAAGATAAGTTATAAGTAATGGCTCGTGTGTTATTCAGTCGATTGCAGTTAATTAATGTCTTGAGGGGGCTGCTTGAGAAGTCAGATTTTGTTTACAACAGTTTCAGGGAATCAGCGAGAAGTCTTACTGCAAATGATGTGCTAAAATATGCCTCAATGCAAGACACATCATCAAGTTAAATGGCACCCAAGAATGTTCAATCTGATACCGTGATGCTCTGTGAATATGTAGCTGCGTAATAGGTAGCATATCTGAAAATGAAAATACATTTTTAACACATGAGGCAGAGAGTCCAGAGAACGGGTAACAGATCTAGGACAAAGGTAGGTTGTAGGAATTATGCAGCAACAAAGACATCCCTCCAATGTTAAATCAATTACAGCACAGGCTGAACCGTTTGATGTTATCAGTCATGACTGAGCCGATACAAGATTCCCTGGCATTTACATTGGTTTTCCTGAACATGCCAAGAGATCTCTCGAGTAGCTGTCTATATGTTAGCGTGCTTCATCTNGTGTGCCTTGGCAGTCTCAATGTTAAATCAATTACAGCACAGGCTGAACCGTTTGATGTTATCAGTCATGACTGAGCCGATACAAGATTCCCTGGCATTTACATTGGTTTTCCTGAACATGCCAAGAGATCTGTCGAGTAGCTGTCTATATGTTAGCGTGCTTCATCTCACTGCGTAGCGGAGTACAGCCAAGATAAGCTCCTCACGTGGGAACACAGTCAGTGCCGAACAAAGCTGTCTAGGTTTGAAGGGCAAAACATACTCTATGCTGAGATAAAGTGTCACCTAGCCAGCATTACCCGCAATATACATGCACACTTATGAAGGGCCTTGTTATACAGGCAGAAGCTGTTGAGTCTCAATATGATGCATTATATGCTTTGAGATGCAGGATGTTATTATTTCCCTGTTGTTGGTTTGGTAATAGATATATATTAAAATGTGGCAGGTGTGTGTGTTCCTACTGTGTGTAGTGCAGTGTTGGTGTGAGGACGGAGAGTGCATGAATCAATATGAAAACTTCTGCCTACATCTCTAACACGCTATCCATCACATGAAATTCAGTTCAAGGCTGACAAATGACTTGTGGGGATTCTAATGGCATTTTCCAACTGAATTAAAATCAGATTCTTGTATGACAACAATCTTTTTCTCTGGTGTGTTTTGAAACCGTAGAACAAAGCTAATCAATTTCCTTGTCTGTGATAGGATAAGTAATTTCCTTTGAATATAAAACCAAGCATACAAAGAGCTGCAAAAGATTAGTGCAATATGATACAAAGATGTTGTAAGATGAAAATACGCGTTCACATTCTCCGCTTTCTTTGTTCCGCTTGTTATTGTAATTCATTACATGTTATTCTTCTATCAGCTTTTTATTTGCATATGATTAAGTTTGAAAAAAAGCATAATAGTGTGTCTGTTGGTGCACATAGACAGAGAATAAGTTGCTCAAGAACGAGGCAGACATTCTGATCCCAGCAATGGATCTAAGAAGTTTAAAAAAAGAAACAGCTGCTCACAAAACTGTCTCAGTAGAGTGCGAGGCAGAAAGTGACACTTTTAAACCTTTGCTGCAGTTCACGCTCTCGAATCAGACTGCGCCTGCATGAATGCATGTCAGTGTGTATATGTGTGTGTAGGCTTTAGTTGACAGGCAGCCTGCCAGTGTTCCTAACTACACATCAGTACCACTCTGTACTCTTCACTCTGATCCACAGCACCACCCGCACCTCTTCACCAGCCACTGTACCCCTCCCCATTAACACACCCTCTGCGTCTAATGGAGTTCACTGCACACCACTTTCCGCCTGAACACACGGTGGAGGAGTGCAGCTAATAGCAGTTGCACAGTTGGAATACATGGGTGTGAGCTGGAGTTAATGTATGCCACAAAAGCAGTGTTGGCAGACACGATCGTGTTATCTGTGGTGGTGTGTAAGAGCACAGCCCATCTGTACAGTGACATCTTTCATAAATGAACCAAGCCGAGCTGTGACGGCTGTCTCTTTGCCCGTGCTTCAGTCCCGGCGCTGCGCTGACACCTCAGATTTGTGTACAGTATCTTGTTTCCCTATCATGAATAGTGAAAGAATGTGCCACGTTTGTATGTCACCCTTTAGGGTTCTTCCAACGTGAGTCTGACAAGAGGTTTGAGTGAAATTGGTCGAAATGCGTGCATATGGTGCACTTCGCTTCATTTTCCCATCATGCAACACTTGAAATGTTGAGAGCAGGTGTTTGTAAAGACACATTGATTCCCCTCCTTGGTCTTGAGTGATGTCCTTTTCCCCCCGTTATATTGAAATGGTGTAGTGATTTAAATGGGTCGAATCCATGTATGTATAAAGAGAACTGGATACAGCGTTGGTGATGTGGCCCCGTACGTTCCTATGAAAGTTACTCAGTGGTGCATGAAGCCAAAACAGCCTGGCACGAGAACAAAAGTATAACAATGTCATGGTGATCCTTCAGCAATCTGCCAGCGGTGTTCGGCATCCATTTGATCCATAGAGCATGGCACTTTCCTTTGACATCTTCAAGTCATCATTAAAAACTCACCCGTTCACCATGGCCTTTGACCCCTAACCCATCACAGTCCCCCTGATTCCACTCCTACTGCTATTTATGAAATGTTTTACTTTATTTTGTTTGTTTGTTTGTTTGTTCACCATGCAAAGCGGCCTTGGGTCCCTTGAAAGGTGCTATACAAATGTAATCTATTATTATTATTATTGTTATTATTATTATTATTATTCATAAAGCCACGCACCTAATCAATTCAGTCAATCATGGCCACCCTTGACTCTTAAATGGGATTTCAGCATATTTTACAACTTTTAAGACCTAATAATTTGAATAACGGATATGAAAGGGTTCATTCTAGGTGGTGAAAAATATATGGCAAACAACTGACACAAAAGTTGTAGTTCCAGTGTTTGGCCACTAGGGGAATGTGCTGCAGCATTAGCAATCTTCCTGAGGATTTTATCAAATCTAACTTGTCTCTTTTTCTTTGTTTTCCAAAGGTGCTGAGGCCATGTTTTCCCAGCAGCCCCAGGACTTAGTGGTGGTGGCAGGCCAGCCTGTGACGTTACCATGCACTATCCCCGGGTACCATGGCGTTGTCTTATGGATCAAAGATGGCCTGGCGCTGGGAGTTGGCAGAGACCTCGCTGGTGAGTAACAGCATTTATCACCTTAAGCATGTCCCCATTTATTTCTCCATCACCTTCAGTGTCCAATAATAAATGCACTGTCATATTCAAATGCCCACTTTTTGTTATCTACAGCCCTCAAATGTCACTTAATATATCACTCCCTAGATAGATAAAAAATGTCTAAAGACATAGTTAGACATATGACATTGGGAGTGTTATGTGAAACATCATGAGCTATATTCCAAAACTACAGAACAGAATGAAAAAATAATGTACGTCAATGTGTTTGATGCAGCGCTAAATCTGTTATATTTTGTTTGGCAGAGAAGCACAAAAATCGGAGTAAAATGTGAAATCAATAGTGGCACCGGTCTTTCTCTGATGCTTCAGGCTGCTAAATGGCTTTTTGAAGAGTAGCTGGCATCCTCTAATTACACCCCACCTCGTGTATAATTGCCTTAATTGTTTAATTTGGAGTCAAAGTGACTACTGCACTGTCATTTAGTAGCCTGTTGTTCCATCAGTAAAGACTTAATGTATATTCATGACCTTCACACATTTCAAAGAAACACATCACTCCTCTAAATAAACATTTACAACCTTTGAATCACTGAGCTATTGAAGGAGAAAATCCATAAAAGCGTAGTACCCATGCGTCATTTACTGAAATGATCATTAAATTCTTCCGAAAAAGAGATCCATTTGTACACAGCACTCAACACACAGTAGGATGCTTCACTCTTTAATGCCACAGCCTTTGTTGTTGAGCTTTTTAATTGCCTCACATACCAGCCGATTGTGACCCATAATGAAATCAAGAGTAATTGCAATTCAAGGCACACTCAAAATGACCAAACTGCAGCCGTTTCTTAAAAACATAGGTTTCTTTTGATCAGGAACGATTAGATCGGTATTTCAAGTGAGATCGGGGGTCTTCTACCCTCTGACCTTTTACAATCGCACAGTCGCCTATGCGGTGTGTAATTAAACCTCAGTGGCTGACAGTGCCCTAGTAAAGCCATCCTATTCCCTTTCCAGTTTCTTATCAGGCCCAGGGGAGACTGAAGGGTTGCAGTAAACAATGGTCCGGCAGTCTGCGAGTCTCCTTTGACAAAAAAAAAAGAGGCAGACAGGGAGAGTACTTATGATTGCTAGAGATAGAATGAGAGAGAGCGGAAGGAATAAAGACAGCATTTTCTTTAGGGTCAGAGCGTGGCAGAGATGTAGAGATGTTTTTATCCTCTTATATTTATTGATTTAACAAGACGAGACGATCAAGATGATTTCTCATTTCAACGTCGGCCAAACACAAAAGGATGGAATAAAACCAAGACAACATTGTGTTGCTACGGACAAGAAAATTAAAGTAGATCAACACGTCTTTGAAGAGTTTGACAGTAAGCAACAAGAATGCAGTGATCCTGACCTTTTCTTATTCTCCTCTTATTATTTGGTTGAATAATCGGGGGCACCGCGCAGAGTCAGGCTGATCCCTCTCCCTTACATCTTTTGAAAAAGTGCACTGGGTTTAGAATGAGGAGGAATAGCTGGCTGCCTTGAAAAGATAGGTAGCTAAAATCAACCCTATGATACGGACAGGGGGCTGAGTGCCTTCTATTGAGACGGATGACACTTGTTCTAAATAAGGCGCTCCACAGCTGTCCTTTTTATCACTGCCTACATAAACAAGCAATGCATGAGGCAGTAAACGAGTGAAGGCACATCCAATGCAACACGTACACAATGAAAGGAAAGTGGCAGCTGTATACATAAAAAAAGTGCGACGAATCAAATGTTGCGTGAAGCATTTCAATAACATAGGTCCGCTCGGCTGTTCATAGAAAGAAGCTGCGTCGGCAACGGTGTTCCACGCCCCGGGACCTGTGTCCATTCACAGGAAAAGTGATTAAACCAAGAGAACTCTTTCACCATTCAGTGCGAGGAATCACGGCACAAAAGCCAATGATTCCTATCTGTCCCCGCGTTGTTCTATTCATTCCCCTTTTGTGTCGTGCATTTCCACTCTAATTAAAGGAAAGCAAAGTAGCCCCACAACCGCTCAGAACATACCAATCAATGTCATGAATATGCATGGCGGGGGAACGTATCTGGTACGCATGGTGATGGTGCGAACAGACGAAGCAGCTTTCAGTTAATTCTCATGTGCACACGGTAAAGATGGAGAGAGAAGTGTTTGTTTACATAATGTCATGCACTTGGGATATAGGAATGAGCTCTTGAGAAGAGAATCTGTCAGTGAGCAGACCTTCACTGTCACTCTTACTTGAGAGCCATTTGAACACCGGTCACCTGTTCACAGCTGCAGCTAACCTATTTTTAGATATAATGTGTGAAACATGTTCTAGGTAAGTGCAATAAATCACTAGGCCTCAATTGTCTGTATACCTACATGCACACACACATGCACGTGCACCATTGATCCAGCCTCAAGACAAATCCATTCCCCTCTGATGGATTCATTACTCCTTAATGGGCCTATTTTACATTGTTTGCTTTGGGTAACACAATGTGTCTTTGAAATTCGCTGAGATCTAAGATCAATGGCCCTTCATAGGTGCACAGCACATGCGCAAAGGTGATCAGTCTTCATGCGTGCCAGAATAATTTTAATCATATTGACAAAAAGGTGTGAGCGTGTGGTAAGAGAAATACATCAACATTGCGTTTCCGTCGTTTGTAAATTAGATTGTAATATTCTTATCGATACTATCTGCCACAAATGCAAATTACTTTTCCGTTTGGATCCAGTTAATGCACAGAGATGAAATTGGAGCAGAGCCCATTTCCTCACACGGCGAAAGATGTTCTTAGTTTGCCAGAGGCACAGATGAGATAATTGGCCAGATCATCTGTTTGTGTTACATGGCTTATACCTTTCAACAATTAAAACAAGCAAAACAAAAGTGCATCTGACGTATTTTGTGTTTCTGGGGAACATGCAATGAGCTCTCGCTCGGTAGAATGGAGTCATCTCAAGGTCACAGCATTCATAATGTGCAATAATCATTACCCTTGTGATCCACAATGGCGCAATGGCATTATTGCTTTGAATCTCATCAATGAACATTGAGAACATTTAAGCAAAATGGTTCTCTCTGTGACCTTGTGCACATAATGTAATGTCCTCTATTTTAGGGCAGGATTCTAAACATAATAAAGCAGAAAGCATTGTTCACTCGATGGCTATTAAGTGTATTAATGGAAGCGTTCAGTTATGATCACGTCTATAATAACCCTGTGTATGATGTGAGCTACTGAAGCCCTTTTAGGCTAGGACATATTGCAGAGTACTGTGAAAATCAGAGAATGGAGACATTGGCCGCGTTCACACCAAGTACTTTGCCGTACTTAGTTCCCAGCACTTAGTTCCCAGCACTTAGTTCCCCGATGGAACTAAGAGCCTATCGCGTTCACACCGGAATAAGTTCGCTGAGGGAAGATTACGCAAATGAGCCGCTGACGTCACTTCGTCTTCTTCTGCTTTGGGTTTACTGGCAGGCCGCAAACCACTTCACGGCGTATACTGCCACCCGAAGTCCCCGGCCAGAAGTCCCCGGAGTTGGGGACTGGCCTTCCGAGTAAATCGCCAGAACGCCGACAGCTCCTCATCTCCACCGCTCCCATGTTTTCTTTTGTGTTGCCATAAGTTAGTCTCTCTGCGTTTGTGCGCTGGGCGAATGCTAATGCTAATAATGCTAATAATGCGAGGATAATAAAATGGCGGCTCTACAAAACATTTCAGAGTTTTACGGGGCGTGGTTTGCAAGTCGCCCAGCCAATCAGAACTGGGGCACTTTTTTTCCCCTAGGATAGTACCACCTCTCAGCAGGCACTAAAAATGGGAGTAAAAGTTCCCGGCACTAAGTACTCTTTTTGGTGTGAACGCGACATAAGGGGTACTAACGGAACTAAACGGGAAAAGTACTCCGGTGTGAACGCGCCTATGGTATCACCTGTCTGTCTTTCCCCTGAAACATCCCCTGCTGCAGCTTCCAACTCTCAGTCAGCTTTTTGCCTTCCTCTTTATTTTACCCACAGTTTTTGATGTGTATGTCTAGGCAGTTTTTTTGTATAGACCCTTAAGATTAAAGGCTACTCGTAGGAAGATGAAATGCAAAAGAGTGGCTTAATCGGCTGTAACTCACCCCACCAGCACAAAACGAGGCCCACTTCATGCTCTATTAAAGGCAACTGGATTCAATGAAGCAATAGCCGGTAATTGGACTTTGAGCATACGATGGGTTTTTGCAGAAAAAAACCTCAAGGATTTAAGAAACTGTTACAAGGCTGCCCAGTCTCTTATGTTCTTTGTGGGCGCTAACACATATAACCAGCTTGTCAAACCTTAACAGTGAAAGACTGGAGTGTTTGGGGATCTCTGAAGTGAACATGAGTCATTTGATAGCTGTTACTGGAATATCGATATTTTTCTCCCCAACATTTGCTGGCAGTGCCCCAACAGTTGGATGAATACTGACAGTCCTTTTTGAAAGGAGACGGCATGTGTCTAAAGTTTGACTTTTTCTTTTACAAAGCACACAGTTTAAATAAGGGATCATTAAAAGGCTGTCCTTGTTCTACTCTAAAAATGTCTCCAATCCTATCCTCTATCTTCATCATCGTTCAATTACTTAAGGAACGCTGGAGAAAAAAGCTTTTATTTTCTGGGAATATGTAACATTTTTTGGAGGACATATTTAATGACAGACATTCTCATTTCTTTGTACATACTGTATCACCAATAATTAGAAAGATGGAGTGAAAGAAAAAGAAAAGGGATCTTCGGAGACAAGCAATTCTAAAAGCATGAGAAATACCCCATAAAGCTCTCAAGTCAAACACACTCTTCTTCCTGCTTATTTGCCCCGGTGGAGGGACGCACTCCACAAGACACTCGCAATGCATATTTCGATAATAGTTAGGGGGATATCGTTAAAACTATCTCGCTTGACTTGTGTAAAATGCCCAGGTCTCTTGGAAATTGCTCTGCTTTCTTGCATTATTAAGCTATGAATCATTTCAGAGCAATGCTGAAACAACTCAAACTCTAGCTGTTCCTGTTTATGGCTGCAGTAAAACATCATTCTGCAGAATGCAGCCGCTCATTAGCATTGCCAGGAGTGCTTTAAAAAAAAAGTGATTATACTATTTGTGTATTAATCTTGTATGGGGATGCGTTGTGAATAAATTAGAAAATAAACAATCACAAATATGCTTACCTATTAAGTTAGTATACTCACCTAGTGAATGTTTGTATGTTGTGCTTATGCAGATGAAATTACACGCAAAAACTCATTCCAATATTGTGTGTTTCAATGTGTTTGCAAATTAAAATGTGTTTGCCAGTAAACATATACAACTTGATAGTAACATCCATGTTTTCATAAACTCTACTTGAGAGTACATCGAAGTTGTTGTGGTGTTTTGTTAATGCCATAATTGTGTAAAGCTTACAAATTTGGAAAATGAGTCATGTTTCGATTTTGGATGTGATTAAAATGAACAAATGTGTTTGCGCTGCAGGCTATCCTCGTTACACAGTGATTGGCGACCACGGTTCAGGAGAGCATCATTTGCGGATCCAGCGTGTGGAGCTGATGGATGACGCTGTGTTTGAGTGCCAGGCTGTCCAGGCTGCCATGAGGTCCAGTCCTGCTCGCCTCACTGTGCTCGGTGAGTCCACATCACACACACAGTCCAAACAACACTAATGTACCAGCGCCATCCACCCCCGATCCCTGAAGTGTAAAACAACTCATGGCAAAGGCTTCACTGGCGTCACTGACTTCTCACTCTCATTGACTATTGCATTATATTATTATATTATGATTATGCTACCAGAATCAATACGGAAAGCAGTGTTTTGTTTGATAGTGAATATAACGTCCAGGTGTTCTCAATGGAAACGGGAAAATAAGCAACTGTTCATGCCGAATCAACACTCTCCAGCCTAAACGCTGGACAGAAGTATTCAAAAGGCCGTAGCTGGAGTGGTGCTTCAGAACAATAAAAGTGTACAGTATGTGTCCTTGTTCGCTTTTCGATTGCACACCAAGTATCAATAGAGGCACACTGAAAACGCAGGTGTTCACATGCAGTCTTACTCAAAACATCATCAAATATCAAAAGTAGAACCTGAGAACAAAAGATGTGTTTTGTATCAAAACCATCAGAAAGGAATGAAAGCAATGCTAATGTTTCCAATTTGGCCGACAGTGTCAATAAGGTTTAACATTAGAGAACCCTTACTCTGTTCATTACCTTCCACTGCACACAGCCTCCATTTCATTATTACTACATGTTGATAGGTTACTGTTTCTTAATTCTACTTTATTGGGTTATCCATTTCTGCCTTACCAGGTAGAACAAGTGCAATGGTCGGCTAACGTCACTTGGGGCCCCGAAGCCTCCTGCTGCTTTCTGTCTTCTGCTGCCTCTCACAAGCGCCCTCACTGAAGGAGTGCTGAAAAAAAGGCCAGAGTCAATGACAATGAGCAGAAGAAAAGGGAAGAGGGATTGGGAGAAAGAAAAAGATTGGAGAGAGAGCGGCGTCTGCCATGCAGTAGCCTTGCCACGAGCGACTGATCCGCCCTATTGATCCAGCCTAATGAAAAGTGAAACTAACGATTTGTTGGGGAGAAGGCAGCAAGAGTAAAAAAAAGAGAGAGGGGAAGACAAATTGCAGCGTAACGTTTCTCTGGCGGCCAGGCCCCCTGCAAATGGATATGAGTGAATAATTATGGGTACTTCTACAGAGGGCTGGAAATGCTACTGCACTTTCCTTCCTTCCACTACTGTCCGTCTTTCAAAATACTCGTTGAAATCTTTCAAAGTTTGGCAGCTCTGACATCAAGCTTTCCAAGGAAACTTTGCCGCCTGATCAACCGCAGAAGAATTCATTGTGTGTGTTCCCGAGTTTTATTGAGCTATTTGGCAATGTATTTATCAGTTTATTGTGTTTTTTAGCTTACGCTTTTATCAGAAGCAACCTACCACGAGCGATTTGGGGTTAAGTATCTTGACTAAGGACATTTCACCATGTCAACTGCAGGGGGTGGGATTGAACTGCTGACCCTCTGATTGGTAGATGTTTATTACTCCACAGTCCCCAATCCCGCCATTAAACTAAATGCAACGACGTGTAGGATTCGACAATGGTGCTTAGTATCCTTGGGAGTTTTTTCTTACACATATATTTAATTCATCGAGGAGTGAACAGCTGCCATACAGCAGATGAAAATAATTCTTGATTTTGTTTCTTTAATCCCTTTGACACTGCGCTTTCCTGATTTGGCAAGCACTACTTTGACTACTCAAAGTAATTAAAACAAAGACACAAATTATTTTCAAATGCTTAACTTTGGACCGATAGCAATGTACAACATCAGGAAGTGCAGTAGTTGGCCTTACTCTATTTAGCTAACCAATCAGCAATGAGAAAGAGGAAGCCTTTTTGACCTATTTGGCTGATTGAGGGTGAACAAGTTCATCATTGCTCCCCATAATCCCAAATAGAAGGTGTTTGTTTAATCCCCTGCCGAGCTAGCTGACTCCTGAGTGCGCTGCCAGGAAGAACTGCAGGCTGACACACACACACAAGGTAATGGAGGAAATATATGCAAGGCCCTTGTCACTGCAAAATCCAAGCTGTCAATTACTTGCCAGTGGTGACAGAGTGTGTCTATCGACTTGGAAGACAGCTACGGCCCCACACCTATGGGTACACACCATAAACTGTATATATAAGTACACACACACACAAATACATATGCATATACACAATATGCTTAGCCTACACACCCACCGACCAGCGCGCACACACACACACACACACACACACACACACACACACACACACACACACACACACACACACACACACACACACACACACACACACGTACTGTATATACGCAGCCTCCCTTCTGACAGCAGAATAAATCTAAAACTCTCTCTTCCATCTTCCATAACTCAATAACAGCCCAAACTCCACCATGTGCCATATCGGAGGAACGTCTCTCCACTCGACTTTAATAGGCTCTGAAATAACATAACATAAATATTGACTAACACATAGACAAATGGCTTTATCACTGCCAAATAACCGATACTCTAACTTTTCTTTTTTGGTGATTTTGTTCAACTTTTAATTGAAAGGTGAAAAAGAAGCAGGAAAAAATAACCTGACCTGCTCATTAACAAAAAGAAAATCTGTAATAAGTAACAAAGGCTTTGGTTTTACTTTCATTAATTTCAGCCAATACTCAAAGTGCAAGAGTAATGCAATTAAAGAGAAAACAGTTAACACGTCTGCAAACAGGTTAAAAAGCTCAGGAAGGAGATTGGACGGTGAACTTCACCCTTCCAGGCGTTCTTTTCGTGGCTTGCAGGCTTACCCTTAGATGCCAAAGGAGAACCAAGGTCCTGTGAATTAGTTATGAAGGAAGGGAAAAGAGGGTTTCAGGTCCAAAAAAGCCCCCTGGGGCTAATTATATCCCTTGCAGCAAGTTGGCACTGCTCCAGACCTTTGCTCTAATCTTTCAACCTGAGGTTGGGGACCACTAGAACAAAGGGAAAGGAGATCACCGCGGTTTGATTTAGGTATTTGGCTGAAAAGCTACTCTGAGGTGTCTTGTCTTTTTCAAAAAGGAAAAGGTGTCATGATGAAGTGTGGTGCCATTTATGAACTCATTGGTGCATTGTAATGCTCATCAGGTATACTGTTCATCAGATATAAACACAACAGATAGTAAGTGGGCAAGATGACTCATTCTCAAGTAATGAATTAGAGCTGAACTGCTGTCACCATCATTTGAATGCAGGTAAACTCATTGACACTCATCTAAATGTTTCACTTTATCCTGATAGTGTTGGAAAGTGTTGCTTTCCAAAGGGCAAGTGTGGGTGATAAGCTTGGTTTATCTTCATATTGCATTTTTAATCAACTGTATAATTATAGCTCTCGGTTCCAGCTCTGCCCAGCACAGTGTCATGAAGGTCATTCTGCTGACCATGCTATTTAGATCAGCCAGAATCTGGGCAATGCTTTGAGAAGTTAAGCTTCCTTTCAGAAAACATAGAAGAATTACAATGCTTGACACTTGAGGAGAAAATATGTCACTAAAAGAAGAAAATAGGTTCTGAGATACCTGTATTTGAAGTATTCATTCCATAAAGACTTTGTAAATGTCATTACTGGGGCAGCATATAGCAAAATAAAAAACAGAATACAAGTGAAGTTTCAAATTCTCGCTGAAAAGATTGTCAATGTTTCAATTTGTTTTAATAACATACCTATACTGTGGAAGGTTCAGAGTCACACTCATAGAACAAAAGTATTGTTTACGTGTTTGTTCTCTTCCAAGAATGCAATTTTGTTAGCGTTACATTTAAACCCATGTTTGGTTCCTTAATACAATGAGGTGTATGAATAGTGGTGGCAGGGGTTAAAATGTAAAGACCCTCCACAAACATGCCTTCATAAACACAGTGCGTGATGCTCGTCTTTTGACAAATGTTATTGATGCCATTTGAATGAGTCATCTTGTGCAAAATCTGTGTTCCCGTCCCTGCAAGAGAATGTTTTTGGACACTTTTTTCAGCAACAATTTGTATGCACACAAAAGCCCAAGGGTATCTTTTGTTATTATCGTTCCAAATTGCCAAAGCTGAATCAGCCTTTTGTGTGGACAAGTCTGAATTCATTTGTTCCTCAAAGATCACTCTGGCATTCCTTTAGTAATGGGGGTGGACATTGAGGGCAGGGTTAAGAGTAAAATAAAAAAAAGAGCTACCGAGGGCTAACGAGTTGTTGTGCTGAAAAAAAAAAAAATGTGTTTAGTGTCAGGACTGACAAAATAATTATGAGTGCAATTGTTGGAAAAAAGCTTATGCAAAGAACACATTTTATGTTTATTATTATCGTTATATTGTTTTTATTTGTATGTGAGTGGAGTCAGTGTGCTGTTGAGTTGGGGTTAGGGTTTTGGGGAACGCAGCGTGGTGCACGGGCTCTCGGATAAATATTTTTTGTTTAAAAACCTATTTAAAAACTCCTGTAGTAAAACCAATACAGGTTTATAAAAGCCCTGTTTGGTCTGTGTTCATTTTTTTTAAATGAAATAAGCAGCGGCTGAAGCACAGAGCGTATGCAGCGGGGTTAAAACCTGTACTCCTGCCCCTAAGAGGGGGTCTCCCCCGGTGGGTTGTCCGAGGCTGTGTCCCACAACATCTGGTAAAAGACCTGGTATGTGGGTTAAAAACATCTGTCTAAAAGTACCGAGGTTGACTTTGTTTAAAATCGGCATGCAGGTCAAATGAGTCTGAACAAATGATAAATACATAGATAAAAGTGCTTAGTAGAATAAGTGCTTTTACAAATAAGTGCTGGTAATAAAAATCACATCAAACTAAATGTTACAATATGTAAAATATAAAACAAATATGTAGAATGTAAGATAAAGTACACACGGGTTAGTAGGCACACGGAGAGGGGAAATATCTTAAAATAAAGTCAACCACGTGTCCCCTAAAAGTGTTAAAAACCCAGGCCGAGGTCTAGAGAGGTGGTGCAGGTGAGACATGGACACGCCTCGGATGATGTTTAAAAAGACTTTATTAAAGGGCTTGTTTCAGGGTGTTTCCCTGCGGGGGGCTAGGTTAGGGTTAGGGTT